CGGCAGGGGAGCATCCAGATCAGCGCACTGAGCGGACAAACAGCCCGACAGCTGTTTGTCGGCTCAGCGCGGCAGCCATGTAAATTTAAATGAAGCGTCGATTATTTAAATCGCCGCTTCATTTTCCTATGTCTGGTAGCCTCATCTACATGCCTCTGGCGACAGAGGCATGTAGTCTATACATACCCTAACATCCCTAACAGAAATCATAGTCATCACTCCAATAACCACACTGGTTGTTGGGCCGACAGCTGTTTGTCGGCTCAGCGCGGCAGCCATGTAAATTTAAATGAAGCGTCGATTATTTAAATCGCCGCTTCATTTTCCTATGTCTGGTAGCCTCATCTACATGCCTCTGGCGACAGAGGCATGTAGTCTATACATACCCTAACATCCCTAACAGAAATCATAGTCATCACTCCAATAACCACACTGGTTGTTGGGGCACCATAACTGATGAGCAATTAACCAACTGTCTCCACTCCAACTGTCTGCCAGTGCTTGAGTCTTCACAAAGTCCATGCTTGTCCACTCTTTGATGTTATCAATCCATGTCTTCTTGTACCTCTTCTCTTCCCTTGTATTGTCCCTTGAAAGATGATCTTAGATAAGCCAGATGATCTTGTTACTTCACCTTGCACTTCTTCACAACCATCAGGAGGTCTTCATATGAAGACTTGGAAATACATTTTTCCACATAGAAGGAGAAAGAATGAATAATCTGAAAAAGAATTTATAAAAGATTCAAGGTAGACTGACTGAGCATCATTGCTCACAAAGAGATGGCAGTTCTTCTAAGGAAAGCTGCGAAGAAGCATCCAAATCTGAAAACTGTGTTTTCATCTTCTAAGTCACATTATACCCTTCTGAATCCAGACAGTTTCATGGAAACAGAGTATTCTGCTAATACAGCTAATTTAGAACACCTTGACAGTACAATGGAGCACTTGATAACAAGGATGACCTTTTTTAAACTCATTTCATCATTACAGTACTTCAAACCCAAGTGAGATTTCAGTTTTGAATTTAAGATGACAAAGTATATCAAGAAACATACTATTACAGGGACTCTTTCCACATCCAGGAAGATAAAGAGTCGGCAAAACTGTGAACCAAAATTACCAACTTTCCTAAACTATATTAGCAAATAATAAGAAGTAGTATCATCCTAAGACTTAACCACTCTTTTGGCCAAAAGAAGATATCAACTCAATAAGAGACACTCAAAAGAATTTTTTAATATCTAGTGCAGGCCCAGGTCCCTTCTGGCCTCAAACACTATAGATATGATCACCTCTCTTCTTTCTTGCATACTTTTATCAGAACAGACATAGGAAACAATGTTGACATTCAAACAGTCATAATTAGATTTCAAAGTTAGCACATCAATCACACAAGGAGTCTGCAGTATGTATCTTTCAGAGCCACAGCTTCAGATTGTGGTTGACAGAATTAAAATGTTGGTGAACCACTCCCTGAAGTGAACAATGACACTGAAATGTATTATTAAAATATCAGATTATATTCACTCTTTCTGGGTCCATTGTGCAGACAATAAGGATGTATACACAGGTCCAGTTCTTTTCTAACATTCCTCCCTCCCCCAACTCTCTTATATTCTCTCTATTCAAACATCTCAGAGTTCCCAGCTCCAGTGGCCAAATTAGGCTAAAAAATGTTTGAAATGGCTGATGATTTTCACATAAAGCAAAAAATGTCTTGCTAGTAACATTAATGCTTTTACAAGAGAGCGAGAGAGCAAGCCTGAAGGCTAACTTCCATCTAATATAGCATTTGTCTTCCTGGGTGAGGATGAGAAAACATATCCCAAATGATGTCTCCTAATCAGAAAGACTGACCATATGCAGAGCTTCCACTGAAACCAGTGGGAGTCTTGAGTGCAGATCTATTGAAAAAAACAACCGACCAACCAACCAACCAACCAGGCAGGCAGGTTTCTGTATGTTTTTCTTGGTTAGATGAAGAAGACAGCATCTCTTGGTCAGCACACAGGACAGGTATTTAGGACACCAGTGGCCTGATTTTCAGAGCTGATTAGCACCACAGAAAACAGGTGAAGTGAATTGGAGATATAGGCACTCAGAACCCCAGCAAATCAAATCACGAGGGATCTATTTTTTGCTCTGCTGGTCAACATTGACAGTGCTTCTGCACCTTAGGCAACCACCACTGGTGACACCATGGCTACGTCTACACTGGCATGATTTTCCAAAAACGCTTTTAACGGAAAAGTTTTCCGTTAAAAGCACGTCTAGATTGGCAGGATGCTTTTTGCGATCAGGGCTTTTTTGTGGAAAACACTACTGTGCTGTCTACACTGGTCCTTTTGCGCAAAAGTCTTTCGGAAAAAGACTTTTGCCCGAACGGGAGCAGCATAGTATTTCTGGAAAAGCACTGACGATCTTACACAAGATTGTCAGTGCTTTTGCGGAAATTCAAGCGGCCAGTGTAGACAGCTGGCAAGATTTCCGCAAAAGCAAATGTTTTTTGCAGAAAAACTTGCCAGTCTAGACACAGCCCATGAGTTTAGGTACAGAGACAAATCCACCCAAACATGAATTAGGCATTAGATAATTTGTAGAATGGAAACCATCTCCCTTTATACACAGTGGGTTTCAATTCCATTGTCTTAAATAGGCACCCTACACTTTCCTTCGGTGGAAGGAATGGAATGAGCAACTCCCTATACAATCAATGACAATGCAGCTCCAAGGGGTGCTCAGTGGAGCATACACCATGTGTCTGTCACTGCTGAAAGAAGTGAGATTCCCTGTAATCAAATTTTGGATGGAAAATCATGTTAATGCATCGCAATCAATCATTTATGACTCCACTTGTAATCGGATGTCTTACCTCCCCACTTTCTTCTAAAACCCTTCAGCCCCAATGCTAACAATGTTGGTCAAAAAGCCCTACCTCCTGGTGCTTGGGATCATTCAAGATGCCATTATGTCCATTTTACATTTCTGGGGAGCTGAACAGTTGCACAGTGAATTCAGACTCTTGCTAACCCATGAAGATGCTCTGGAAAATAAAAAATAGTTTCTCTCCCCTCTTTCTACTCCGCTGTCCTTGCTCCTGACATAATCTCTGGTGCATTTTTACAAGGAATGTTTACAGACTGCCACCAAGAAAAGGAATAGTCTGCTTCATCTCTCTTGGCAAAGATGATGATACAATAACAGCATGATGATACTGCGTTAACTATATGCTGCTGCTTTATAGCATAACAAAGAAATATCTATTGACTTTAAATGGTAGTTAATAATGCTCATGAGAAAGGCATTACATGATTTATTCAATTTTTCATTGTAATCCTCAATTTTTGAGGAAGAAGGTTCTTTCGAAAAAAGGGTGGTTTTTTTCCGAAAGAATTTCAAAATTGTTTGCTTTTTCGAAAAAAACTTTCAAAAAAGCAATCAGAAGAAGATATGCAAATTACCACCAAATTTGCATATCTTCTTTCAACAGAAAAACGAAGTCTAGACGTACCCTTATAGAATGTGTCACACAGCCTAGTGACTGAAACTTCACTGATCGTGGCACCTACTTGCATTTGTACTATAGCACTAAATCATGCCATGTCATAAGATTGCACCACTGCCAGTCTTGTGTTTTGCCAAGATACAAATCCACCGCATCTTGATGCAAAAACCAACAAACCAACTGGCTCACTATCTTGAAACATCATATCAATCTGCTGATTCCCAAAAATTTAGATGGGTCTCTAACCATCAGCTAAAGGATATGGGAAAGACCCATGGAAAAGCATGCATTTTTGGATAGGTGGCAATCCTAATTTTTGGATAGGTTGGCTGGGTCATTTTCCTCTTGGTACTATTAAAAAAGGGAATACTGGCAATTATAGTAATTTTAATTTACCTACCACTTTTTATTCAGCATCTCCTAGGAAGCAAAGCACAGTTTATCACCATTTACAGATAAGAAAACTTAAGACAGCAGAGATATTAAGTGAACATAGGGCCTGATAGTAAATACTTTATTTGTTGGAAGGCTTTGCTCAGCGGCTTGCAGGGTCAAGCAGACAATCTGTGGTAGCTCTGGCATTTTCTTCAGAACTTTTGTTGTTCTTCGGTGCTTAACCATCCCCCCCTTGCCCGCCCATAAATAAATGACAATGTTTTGTTATGTCAAGTGCACGTGTGAATGCTGCTTTCTCGGACAAAGCAAAAAAGCTGCAGACAAAGCAAAACCCACTCATTGGCGGCGGAAGAATTTGTGTTGGCAAAAGTGCCAGTAAAAAGCATTCACATGAGCGGACTTTTAGCAACAAGGCTGTGTCGCTACAGGTTTCTCACTAAAAGCTGCATAATGTAGACATACCCTTAGTTTAGGGGGTTTCATGACATCTCTGTTACTAGGAAGGTATGAAAACGTGAGGCTGAAATTTATACTCCAACCAATAACACGGAAAACAGTGTTCCCAGTAAGCTATGTGCTTGTTCAGCAACTCAGGAAAGATTCAAATGCCACCCAGCTGATTAGCCGAGCACCCACAACTACATTTTTGTTTCTACTCGTGGTGCACATCCTCCCGTGCCTCGGTGCACATACAATTTTTCTGCACATTGATGGAAAAGATAAGAGGGAATATTGATGGCAAGTTATTTTAAAGATTAGTAAATTACTGTAATGCAACCATGGACCTGTTACTGTGATCTGTGAATAGAGAAGTAAAGAGGTAACCATCTAACCACTTAGGTAAGCATTGCCTTACTGGCACGCTTACAAGGGCAATTGGTTAACCAGTGATCAGCCTGGCCAGAGCAGCCTGGGTGGGGAACTGCTCTAGCCTGCCAAACTGGAGTGCCTCCTACCCATGGTGTGGTGTGTGGGCCCAGAGGGAGGTAGAGGAGGGTCCTGCTCAAACCTGGCCAGGCCCGCTGTATCATGTGGCGGGCAGTACATTTTAAATGTCCATTTTCAGTTCTGTACACTGCCATCACATGGCCAGCTCTCCCCATCCTAGAGACATACAGCCAAATTCTTCCTTTAATCACAATGCATGCAAGTTAATGGCCCGTAATCTCAAACTGATGTATGCATCTGTGGAGGCAGGAAAAGGGAATAAGGGAATTTGTGTGCAACCATCTTGATCTTGTTAGCAAGAGAGCAAGAGTCAGGCTAAAGTTTGTGGCCTGACAACACGAAAGCTGTAATAAGACACTGCCTTTGCCTCTCGCCTCCATACGGAGATAAGGATAGAATGCTGACTCTGGCAGGGACATTGAGATAAGGAGCATCTGGGTGGAACTAAAATAACTGTTAGCCATTGGTATTTGTAATGGGAAGGAGACTAATTGTTATTGTTATTATATCTAATGGACAGTATATAAACTGCTTCATAATTGCTTGCATTCGAAATTCTGCCTCTGGGGGCTTCCCCCCCTGTCCGAACCAGTTTTCCCTTGCTCCAGCTCGTAATAAAACTGCCTCTGGCTACTTGTTGCTTACAAACGCAGAGTGAGGATAATGTTTTCTTCCACAATTTGGTGCTGTGACTTGGATGGCAACGCCCGATTGAAGACAGCAACAACAACTGTGGACTGTCCCCCTTCACCTCCAGGATGCCAAACGAGAGGTAAGAGACCTTTTGAAATCTCTACTGGGGTGTGGACGAGGATTGCCCTTGGAGTCGTCTGCTTCTTGTGGGCTCACACCATCCGAGCTTCTTGAATC